AAAGTTCCTTTTGTCCCAATCACTTCTGTCATTTTTACTCTTCTACATTTTACTTAAGGCAGTGCTGCCCTCTAGTGTCCCGTACTAACACAACAACACAAATTATGGTGTAAAAAAGGTTTGTGTGTTTATAACTACTGCATTTTCCCTTTCACTCTGTCTTGAAAGCAGCCTTATTTTAAAAAAATTAAAAGTAATAAACTGAACATTGTCTATCCATGTTTATGGATAATATGTTATGCAGTTTTTGCACTATAAGCTTTGAGTCTGATCTCAGAATATCACTAAATATCATTTTAATTATATTAAAATCTACAGAATAAAAAATGTATTCACCAAGTACAAAATGTGAATTGTTTTATAATAAAAACCAGGTGGAATAGACTATACACAACATAAACATATAGATTACATGAAGAATGTGTGATGGCACTTATGTACAGTTACATTACACATTATACAAGGTTTATGTTCTGCCCTAATGCACTTTTACACTGACTCTGAAAGGGCTTTAAACTGCATATTCCCTCACAGGAGAAACGCATGGAATCTCACACACCATCCTGGCTCTCTGCCATCACACACACGCACACACACACACACACACACACACACACTCACGTCATGTGCCTCCGGCCTGCTGTTGCTCTTTCCAAGCTCCTGCCATGCTGCCGCGTTCTCCACCAGCAATTAAAACTCGCAGCCACTTTGATTTTGATGTGGGCAATTTAACTAGTGCCCCATAAACGTGAATGTTTTTGCACAGAGCGCTGTTGTTTTGGCCGTTTATTTCTTTAATAAGTTGGAACGCACTTCAAGAAGAATCCCGTTTCAAACACATGCCGTCCAGCTGCAGCAGGTCAGCACGAATTACTTGAATTATCAACCGTAATGATTTTAGATGGCTGGAGTTTTATTGAGCTCAGCGCAGAGCCAAACTGCGTCTGGACTCCAGAGTTTACGTGTAAAACACCAGGCCTACGGCATTAAACGTGCTTAAGGAATTTAATTCACTGAGCAGCAGGTTAACACAAGCGAGCATCTTCACCGGTCATCAGTGACTGAAGTGAGAGCATGAAGACCCCCGAGAAAGTGTGAAACCCACTTACAACATCTGTGTGGCTTTAAATGCCAAAAACAGTCATAAATCATTTTTATATGACTTTTTTAACCTGCAGGCTGTTTTTGTTACTGTCGCTTTAAGACTGATGTATGTATATGACGTCTGTTCTGATTGGCTGCCCTGTATTGGGCCTTGTTCAATTAGCAGCCCATGGCTGGAACACTCCTTATAATATGGGCGGGGCTATACTGCCATAGGCTGAATAGAATATGCAGACGTATGTAAATGAGATGGTTTGAAACAATGTTTACACACTGCAGCACACTTTTATTTGAAAAATAAAAAAGTGAGGAAAATTCTGTTTTTCATGATGTTAATATGTTAAATATGTTAAAAAAATATCCCAGATTGCAGCACATATCGGTTCGCTGTCTTGATGCGAAGGGTCCGCAACCCGCTGACTGTATGCTACTGCTGGTCCACCTTCGGACCGCCCAGATTACTGTTGTGTGTACAAGGTCTAACTACTTTTTATTCTTCTCAAACAGATTTTAAATGCAGAGACTTTTAGTTTGGAAAATAGACCAAGACAAATTTTACAAGCAACTGAGAGAGAGAAATTAATGACTAGGCCTGATATGAACAGATTTAGCTGAACATGCTGCTGATACTGTGCTGGATTAAAATGATTGACCAAACAAATAAAAGGAAAGTGAGCGATTAGAAGTGGAATTACGTCTAACACTCGGCTTAATCACCAGTGGGCCGCCCGGAAAACACTGAGCCTCTGCTTTTCCATGGCCCGCTATCCTCTTCCTGTCTGGGTAGAAAGAAATTGTGCACAAAATGTTGCAGAAGTATGTTCCCTGTAGAGCCCATGTGTCAAACACAAGGCCCGCGGGTCAAGCCAGGCCCGTGACACAGTCCTATTCAGCCCTCAGAATTATTTTCATTTTCCATTCTTAGTAGCCTGTTTCACCCTGAGCAGCGCTACAGTTCATGCATGTATTACCTCAAGGCTGGATTACTGTAATGTTCTAGATCAGAGGTCACTAACTGGTGAACCGCGGCCCGAGTCCAGACCCAGGCGCTGTCCTATGCAGACCTGGACCTATAACCAATAAACTACGGAGAATTCTTTAATTTCGACAGGGTGGTCCTATTTTACTCTGGATAACTTGTCTAGCCTTTACGGCAGCTTTAGCGGCCCGGAAGAGTCACAGACCAATCGCATGCGTTGTAAATATCACACGTGATGCTACTCAGCCAATCAGATCTGTGCATTACGATGAGCACTGAGACTCGAGTGAGTGACGCACACACAGGGGAGGGACGAGGCGAGACACAGCAGTTGGAGAAGAAAGTGAGTCAGAGGGAAGTTATTTCACATGGTGGCTCTAAAAAGAGAAAACTGACAGTAAATGTTGTTGAAATATGACTGAACTGTACTTTATTTGATTTTATATTCAGTTGTTGACTGTATAAGATGTTGATATACCTACTAGGCTACTTCAGTAAACAGTATATGGCACTGAGTCATAACATAAGTTAGACATTATGATGTTCTGGACCTTTGCTTGAGGATATTTTCTCTAACTGGACCTTATTGAATTTTAATTAAAGACCCCTGTTCTAGATGTTCCAGCAAAAGCCATAACAAGCTTCAGTATTTCTCTATTTCAATATTTTATACTAATATTAAAACTTCATTCTCGGTTCATTTTACTATTTTGTTACTGTTTGCTATCCGGTGTCGAGGAGGATGGGTTCCCTTTATCAGTCTTGGTTCCTTTCAGTGTTTCTTCCTGTTGCGCTTAAGTAGTTTTTCCTGCCACTGTCGCCATTGGCGACGCTCATGGGGACTCGGATCCAAATTTTTCTGTAAAGCTGCTTTGTGACGACGCCTGTTATAAAAAGCGCTACATAAATAAACCTTGACTTGGCTCAATTTGACTTGATTTGACCAGGTTCAAACTTTTGCATACGACTGCAAGCTTCCATCACATTAGCCTTGTAGCTCCAGCGCTAAAGCTAGAGAAGCAGATTTCAGACATCAGACACGTCTTGGCTGATCGACTACATTTGAACTAAGTAGAAAAGCTGGGAACATTTTATTTTTGGCCAAACTTTCATCTTAAATGAGCAATTTTAATTAGGCCTCATCACTGGAGCATGAACTTTCAGGGTGGAGGCCACAAGCTGAGAACGTGAAGTTCAAACAGCTTCCATAATGCAAAATCAGCACTCGGCCCTCAAACTGATCCATATCAACTGCACCCACCACAAACCTGTACAAGCATTAGAACGCCTTGAATTTCTGCACCTTTCACACAGTGTCCTGTCCATCCAGAGCTGATGTTTGGGGGGGGTCCAAGTTGGCACCGGACCCTATTTTTCTAACCTTTGGTGCGTTTATGACTCTCCTGTATGCAGTAAAGTGTGGGGGTTCATTTGTTTCAGCTTTTCTAGTCTTGGCTGGCTGCCTGGCCCGGTGTTATTAATAGGCATCCTAATCACCAGCAAGGCGCACGCTTTAAAATCCCTGTCTTCATAATCAGGCACCATATGGTATCAGGAGCTGGAGGGAGGCTACGCGGCGCTCCGCAGGGAAAATAAATAAATAACTGCATAAATAAGGTTGAAAAATGCACCGTATTTGGTAACATGTGTTTTGGTTTAAAGCAAATGGAATCATTTTCAGTGATCAAATCGATGACATACTTTCCTGCACACACGCAGCCAAACGGCAGTTAGAGCCCTGCATACGTCCCGTATCAGAGCCACCTTAACGTAAAGCACAGAGTTTACCTTACAGATCTTACACTGACACCGAGTCAGAGGCGTAAACAAACCCTTTACTACAAAACTACACCTTTAAAACCACACCTGCAGCCCCGCAGCAGAAGAACCAGCCTGAGGAGAACCTAAGGACGGCCTAAGACTGAGTACACGTCTTACGGAACCACATAAATGCAAACATAGTTTGACTGAAGGACTGTGTAGATCAGGGGTGCACAAACTTTGGAGCCAGTGTTTGTGGTGAACCAACAGCCTAAAATACAAAACAATACACAAATAAAGAAAGTAGGAAAAGTTTCAAATCACACTTTATTTCATAACATTATGGTATATTTTACTGAAATCTTAGTAAAAAAGTTACTAAAATACTTCAAAAATACAATTTTAATAGGAAAATAAGAATTTAATAAGTTACATAAAGTGTACATTTAGGTTTTTTTTTACGTTGGTTAAGGGTTTGGGGTTGTTTTATTTTATTTTATTTCATTCATTTATTTATTCACAAGTTTTTCCTGGAAAAGTGGTGAAATTGAATTTTTTATTTTTTTTATGTTTGTATGTATTTATTTATTTATTTATTCATTTATTTATATTAAACTATTGTTGTTGTTGTTTTTGTTGTTACCAAAATACTTCAAAAATACAATTATCATAGAAAAACAAGAATTAAATAAGTTCATTATAATATAAAATTATGTTTATTCTTTGATTGTTTGAGATTTATTTTATTTTATTTTATTTTATTAATTCCTGGAAATTCAAGTAACATTTTTGGGTGAAAATGAAATGAAGTTTATTAAAGAGCCAGAATTATTTATTTATTTATGTATTTGTTTATTTAATAAACTATTATTATTATCATTATCATTATTATTATTATTATTATTATTATTGATGATGCTTTGTTATTCAGAACTTTCTCTCTCCAAGATACGTCACCGGAAGGGGCTTTTCCTAGACGTTAAAACAGAAAGTCGCGAGGAGGCGAGTAGGTATGTTTACAACAGACACATAGCGATGGTAATTTTTAAATATTTTCCCGGACTGCCCCTTTAACACTCACCGATGAAGGCCTTCGCGCTGCAGTGCTCCTCCAGACCGACAGGCGGCGACCGCGCTGACCAGAAGCGAACTGACCGCCAGAAAAACAAAACAGAAGAAAGACCCGGGGGACAGCACGTGTGTGTTAAAATGGGGAAAAGGAGGCAAAAACATCAGAATTTAACCGGTTTAACCAAAAAACAGAGGAAACACCTGAAGGAGTTTGGAGAGCAGCACCCGTTCCACGAGTAAGAGCCGCTGTTCGTCACTCACTGCGGAACACGGCGCGTTTTAAGTCTTCCTGTTGGAGTTTAACGTTCCACCTTAAAAGGTGCAGCATTTACATTCTGGCGCCTTGGGGACCATAATATTCCAGCAAGGTGGAGCTCCTGCACCATTTAAGGTGAAACGGTACAATACCAGTAAAGTGGAACGGTACAATTCCAGTAAGGTGGAACTCCTGCACCATTTAAGGTGGAACGGTACAATTCCAGTAAGGTGGAACTCCTGCACCATTTAAGGTGGAACGGTAAAAGTCCAGTAAGGTGGAACTGCTGCACCATTTAAGGTGGAACGGTAAAATTCCAGTAAGGTGGAACTGCTGCACCATTTAAGGTGGAACGGTAAAATTCCAGTAAGGTGGAACTGCTGCACCATTTAAGGTGGAACGGTAAAATTCCAGTAAGGTGGAACTCCTGCACCATTTAAGGTGGAACGGTACCGTACGCTGTAACCAGAAGGTGGCGAATAAGAAGCGAACTCCAGCCTCGTGTTTACAGACCGTCTAAACACATCTTACAGTCCACCTCAGGTCATTTGGCCTTAAATCTCATTAACAGCTCTGTGTATTTCTCTTTGTGTTTCAGTGTTGCTGACAGACCTCAGAAAACACAGATTGTCCGCCTGGTAAGTTCCAGAAACGTGCTGTTCAGCTATTGAACTACAAGAATTATTGAAATCTTTTTAAAGGAAGTTTTTTTTCCAGCACATCAGTTTTCATATCAGAGTTTTTAAAAAACTTAATTCTACTTTTTGTAGGATTTTCTTTTAACTTAAAAATAAAATTAAAGTCCAAAAATGACCTCTCTTATGTTTCCTTGAGGCACAGCACTGCGTCTGGTTTGAGACTGAAAATGAACTGGTGCAGTCACAAGGATAAAGTCAGTTGTGATGTCACACCCATGGGATACTGTGCAAATTCTGGATGTTTAACAGCAACAAAGCAAATGGCTGTAAAGTTATTTGTCTCAGCGTGTAGGCAGAGCTGGGCGATATGACAGTGTTTATATTGAATTCATTTGATTTAGTGCAGCACAACATTTTTAATACAAATAATTGAATCCATTATTTTTTATTGTACGTTTAAAATGTGTGCTTACTTTGTTTGTTCTAACTTATCAGATGTCAGAAAAAAAAATCGTGACGCATTGTGTATCATAACAAATGTCCAGAAATGTTTTGCCATATCGCCCACCTCTACGTGAAGGTCAGTCATTTTGTAAAAACATTTTACACTCAGAAATAAAGGTACTAAACTGTCACTGGGGCAGTTCCCCTCCTGTCACTGGGGTGGAACCCTCAAGGGTCCATCTCAGTACCTTTAGTCAGGGAACATAACTGAACCATAATCCACTGAAATGATATGTTCTAAGCTGTACTGACTCCACACACCCCGTCTCGTCTCCAGGCTTTTATTTTACTGTTCTGTTTTAAAACATTCGGTTATGAAAAGGTACAAATACGAACTTATTATACAAACTTATTTAAGGTTCACAATCAGACCTTAAAACCACTGTTGGAGCTTTGAGGGAACATTTACACTGTTTGTACCTTGATGAACGAAAAAAGTACCTGAACAGAACCTTCATTTCTAACAGTGTAGATTAATTGTGTTTAAAATAGTATGAAGTGATTAAATTGTGTTGAAGGTGGAGCGAGACGAGAACCTACAAGGAGAAGTTTGGCTGTGTGAATTAGATAAATGTTGATATTCGTCTCCGCAGCCCAGCCGTCCTGAGCGCTCCAGGCCCAGGAGTGATGAAGATGTTGAGGAAGAGGAGGAGAAGCCGTCTGCGTATCAACAGCTGCTGTCAACAATGAGCCGCAGCGCTGGCGACCTCGGTGAGGATGTGGAGAGCGATGAAGATGAGGAGGAGGATGAAGAAGTAGAAGATGAACTGGCTGGTGCTGATGAAGGTCAGCTTTCTGAATCAAGACAGGGAGATTTAAGTGATACTTAATTTTGATTTAGTTTTACCTCTTAATGACAAATTTCGTTGGTCAGCCGGGTCATGTTGAGGTTTTATTTCTTCAGTCAACCATCACGTCAACTTGACTAGATGTAAAATGGGCAGTTTGGGAACCTTAGATTATTTTTATCTCTCTCTTTTTGACAGGAGAGGATGAGGATGAAGATGATGATCTAGAACAAAGTGGAGAGGAGAGTGATGAAGAGGAGGAGGATGGAGAAGAAGGGGGCAATGAAGTACCTGCAAACTCTGAGGAGAAAAACAATGTGGATGGAGAGAAGCAGGCAGGAGAGAAGGGGAATGGAGAAAAAGAGCTGGAAGAGGAGTTCGTTGATGAAGCTCATGAAGAGAAGTTCTGTCTGGAGTCAAACCTCCCTGCAGAAGCAGAACAGGAGAAGACGGATCAGTCGCTGGAGGAGGGTAAGACAGTGTTCACTCAGTTCACACTGTCATACGGAGCCTCTGGGAAACAGCTTAGATCAAAATGAATAAAAATATAATTTATTCTCTCGTTCACCATCAATAAAAGTGAGGTGGACGTCTGCTGGCAAAATCCAGAAGTCATTTCTCCTCCAGATGTGCTGATCTGCTCAATAGGGGGATCAATCGATTCAGTGCTTCATAACATTTTAAATGGTTGAATTAAAGAATTAAAACCCCATTTCCAAAAAGTTGGGACACTGTGCAAAATGTAAATAAAAGCAAAATGCAATGATGTGCAAATCATTTAAATTTTATTGTTTTTTGAAAAATATTTGCCCATTTTGAATTTGATGCCAACAACACATTCCAAAAATTCAAGAATAACGCTTCTCAACATAAAATAGCAAAGAACGTTTGCTTTTCATCATCTACAGTACATAATATCATTAAAAGACTCAGAGAATCTGGAGAAATCTCTGTATGTAAGGGACAAGGGCAAAAACCAGTATTTGCTGGCCGTGATCTTTGGGATCTCAGACAGCACTGCATTAAAAACAGACATGATTCTGTAGTGGAAATCACTGCATGGCCTCAGAAACACTTCTGAAAAACACTGTCTGTGAAAACAGTTCATCACTGCATCCGCAAATGCTAATTAAAACTCTAAAACACAGAGAAGAAACTGTACATAAACAGGAACCAGAAACACTGCCACCTTCTCTGGGCCTAAACTCATTTAAAATGGTCTGAGGGGAAGTGGAAAAAGTGTCTTGTGGTCCGACAAATCAACATCTGATATGTGTCCTCCGGGCTAAAGACCACTCAGCTTGTTATCAGTGCACAGTTCAGAAGCCAGTATTCATGATGTTAGAGGGCTGCGTCTTTTTCAGGGAAGGCCTTGAATATTTCAGCCAGACAATGTTAAACCACATTCTGCATGTATTACAGCAGCATTGCTCCGTATTAAAAGAGTCCGAGTGCTAAACTGACCTGCCTGCCGTCCAGATCTGTCACCACTGATAACATTTGACGCATTATGAAATTAAAAATACAACAATAGAGACCCTGAACTGATGAGCAGCTGAAATCCTGTATCAAATAAGAACAGGAAAACATTTCACTTTCAAAACTACAGCAGTGACTCCTCAGTTCACAAACACTTACAGAGTGCTGTTAAAAGAAGAGGTGATGAATCACAGTGGTAAACAGGCCCCTGTCCCAACTTTTTTGGAACGTGTTGTTGACATCAAATTCAAAATGGGCAAATATTTTTTAAAAAGCATAAAATTTCTCAGTTTCAACATTTGATATGTTGTCTTTGTAGTATTTTCCATTAAAAATATGGTTTACATGATTTGCACATCATTTCACCCTATTTTCATTTACATTCTGCACAGCATCCCAACTTTTTTGGAAGTGGGGTTGTATTTATGCATTGGCAATACAGACAATAAAACATTTTGTTTTAAATTTTAAAACAGCCCCAAAAAAATGAGACACCAAATGTAATAATTTTATATGTTAATTTTGTTTGGAACTCATTTTGGATGTTTCATTTTTAGAGCTTCATTGTGAATGTTACTTTTTTAATAATTAGAAAAGCTTTCTTGGTATTTTTATTAATAAATGAATCAATTTCAAAATCATCTACAGCTCTTTTCATCCTTCTAAACACGTCTGTAACTGTAAAATCTCATGTTTCGTGAACAGCCACCTGGTAAATATGCATGGGACAAACATTGTGTCTAAATTAATTTTATACATGCATGTAAGATGAAACTGGTTTAACAGTATTGAAAAAAACATTCTTAACATTTGTGTACATTTAAAAAATGATAATATTTGTGTTTAGATTCCTAAGAGTGTGTTTTGTTCTTGCCTCAAACACTAGATTTGCTTCTGAAGCATCACGAAACAGAGCTGAGTGATGAAGAGGTGAAGAAAATCTCTGAGGGCTCTAAACTCCGGACTCAGGTTAAGGTAGGATGAGATTTAACCTGCAGGCTGTTTGCTGTTACGGAAAAAGAAGAAGTTCTCTCTCGACTGCGGTTTTGATTAGTCCAGTCTGGCATCTATGCTGTTACAGTTCAGTGTCTGAATTTAGCTTCTTCAGTTTTCACATTGGAGCTACGAGGCTGATGTAGCTAACGAAGCTTATATTTGACCAATTAGCTTGATGCTAACTGCCCACCTAAATCATCACACACTCGCCTCAAAGCATGTGGAGGTGTTCAGTATTTCTGATAGACTTGATGATGTGGTTTCTGACTCTGTATGACTCTCTGGTATCTATAAATATGGAATAAAATACATTAATATAGCTAAAAACTGCATCGCTATGCTGATACAGTATTTTTGTCCGGGGTTTATTTGTTTTTCCATCTGTTGCAAAAATAAGAAGCAAATTTTAGAAACAAGGCGTGTCTTGGCTGGTCTTCTACATTTCGAGTGACTAGATAAACTAGGTAAATTAGGTTTTTGCATTTAAATTATTATTAAATTCAAATTTTTGTCCATCTCAGTGGTCCAGACTGGGTGTGCTGCAGTGTGTGCGCCCCCTGGAGCGGTTTCCCTCCGTCGGTCAGGCTTCTTCTGCCCCCCTGCCTTCCTTCCACAAAGCACTGGAGGCAAACTGGCGTTCACTCAACCAGCCTAAGGGGGGCGCTGCATCGGACCTCACAGACCTGCAGAAAGAGCTGCTCAGACTCATGGGTATGTACAAAAATAGGCCTGTGGGAGTAAACAGTAACTGGGTTTATCGGCCATATCACCCACCCATAGAGTCAGGGGTGGGGGGTGAAACAGAGTACAGTGCTGGGAAGTGGGACCCCTCCCTACAGTTTATAATGGGGGGCCATGCGGCTCTCTTACTTAGATTTGTAGGTAAAACTAAAATAATCCTCCTTTACAGTAAAATAAAGCTCTGCTGATCGTTCAACACAGTTTAACAATAAATGGTCTTAAACTCTGGAGTTAATGTAGAACTGCTGATTCACCCTTTAACCCTGAAGATCAGCGCAGACTGCTGGTCACCATAGCAACACAGACAACAGTCTCGCCTAGCTAGTAGCTAACGAAACGGCAAAGAGAGAGATTTAAGATGAACATCGATAATTTGGAAACAAATTATTTGCAAATAATTTGGATTATTTGCATTTGCAGCTGATTTCCTGATACATTTAATCTGCAACGAAAAACTGTAAAACACTAAAAAGTCACAAGGCTGAATTCAGCTCCTCATTCGCCAGCTTCTCGTTCTAATTTTCCCGTTCCACCTTAAATGGTGCAGCAGTTACATTCTGGCACCTCAGGCAGAATTTAAGGTGGAACGGGAAAATTCGAGCAAGAAGCTGGCGAATAAGAAGCGACTTCAGCCTCGTAAAAAGTCAAACATTGAGACATTTTACAAGAAACTGTTCTACTTTTGAGGAAAAGTTTCCTGCTGGAGATGTGAGAAAAGCGGCTATAGCTGAGCTAAAGCTGAAAGCAGAGCAAAGTCAGTCTGTGTTTTCATTTATATTATATTTTTAGTCTGTACTTTTACATCAGCACATACTGAGACATATTAACAGCCCAGATGGTGAAATGTTACTCCAATAAAACTGACATAAAATGTGGCTCCCAAGATGAATTGATTTTTGTTGAAAGGACAAAATGGCTCTTCTTTTCTGTTCAATATTAATAATGTGTGTTTGTATTTTTTTCCGATAAAATTATTACACTGTTCTGTTCCTCAGTCTCGCATAAGCAGCAAAGGCTCAAACTTCAAACAGTGGCTGCTTTAGTACACTAGGTGGCGCTGTATGCTTTTCCCCTTACTAGTGGAGGGAGAAGAAGTCTAGCCATTCACTCACAGCAGCACAAACTAGCAGTGCTATGTAAAAATGATGGTTCTTCAAGGGTTTTTTGTAAAGAAAATGGCTCTGTATAGAACCATGAACACTTAAACAACCCTTTGCATGATTAAAGGGTTCTTTGCATCATGAAATGGTTCTTCAGGATGATGGAGAATGTGCTGTAGATGGTTCTATATAGCACCAAAAAGATTTCTGGTATTGTTATGATATCAATCCTGTAATAGAAGAACCCTTTTGGTGCTGTATAGAACTCTTCAAATGGGTTCTATATAGAACCTTCTACAGCACATTCTCCATCGGTCTGAAGAACACTTTCATGATACAAAGAACCCTTTAATCAGGCAAAGGGTTCTTTGAGTGTTCATGGATCTACATGGAACCATTTTCATTAGTAAAGAACCCTTGAAGAATAAACTTGTGTAGTTTTAGCTCTTTTCAGTGAGCTGATATTACGGAGACTAAAAATGGTTAAACTTAAAATGTTTAGTTTAAGGAAAATTAAAACTGGTTGCAATTAAATCAGAAAGATTTAAGACTTGTTAAGAGTTTTTATTTATTCTTATTTACTTTAAACTTTTATGAACCACCTTTTATTCATTTTAGTTTGTACACGCATTTTTAACTCTAGGGACAAAATTCAATTTGATTCACAATATTTTATATGTTCAAAGTGTTTAAAGTCTCATCAGAGACAGAAAACTGAAGTCTGCGAAGCAGCATGTCCAAATCTTGACACATCTTTTGGTCAGCGATGGTTTTATGTGATACACTGTTTCGCACATTAATTCCTTTCCATGCTGTATTTGTCTCAAACGATTTGGGAAAATACATAATTAAAAAGAAATACTGGCCATATTACAGATTACTCAGTGCTCTGCAGCCCGTCAGCAGCGTGTGTTGTCTCCTCCACAGGGTCCTACAGGGACATTTACTACCCAGAATGCTCTCCAGTGGTGGAAGGTCCGGAGGTTAGGCGGGCGTACTGCCTCCATGCCCTCAACCATGTGCTAAAGGCTAACTCCAAGGTTCTTACCCATAATGCTCGGCTGAAGGAGGCTAAGGGGTCGGAAGAGGAGGAGTTCAGAGACCAGGGACTGACCAGACCAAAGGTAAATCTAAACTCTCCTCATATACATACATATATATATACATCAGGCATAACATTCTGACCGCCTCCTTGTTTCTACGCTCATTGTCCATTTTATCAGCTCCACTTACTATATAGGAGCACTTTGTAGTTCTACAGTTACAGACTGTAGTCCATCTGTTTCTCTGATACTTTGTTAGCCCCCTTTTACCCTGTTCTTCAGTGGTCAGGACCCCCATGGACCCTCACAGAGCAGGTACTCAGTGTCACTGCTGGACTGAGAATAGTCCACCTGTGGGCAGCGTCCTGTGACCACTGATGAAGGTCTTGAGGATGACCAATACAAATTATGCTGACACACATGAGCTGTTGTCTCTGACTTTACATCTACAAGGTGGACCAACAAGGTAATAGAGTGGACAGTGAGTGGACACGGTGTTTAAAAACTCCAGCAGCACTGCTGTGTCTGATCCACTCGCACCAGCGCAACACACACTAACACACCACCACCACGTCAGTGTTACTGCAGTGCTGAGAATGATCCACCATCTAAATGGTACCTGCTCTGTGAGGGTCCATGGGGGTCCTGACCACTGAAGAACAGGATAAAAGGGGGCTAACAAGTTTTGAGCTGTTTCTTTTGGTTCATTCATCATGAAATTTACACACAATCTAAAGGACACACACACATGTAACTCAGAAGAGTGAATAATCTGTCAGATGTTTGTTTTGTCCTTGTGCAGGTGCTGATCCTGGTGCCGACTCGGGATGGAGCTCTGCGGGTGGTGCAGACCTTCATCAGTCTGCTGGAGCCCAAAGAGAAGAAGATGGACGTCAGTAATAAGAAGAGATTTAAGGACGAGTTCGGAGAGGATCCCAACGACAAACCGACAAACCTGCACCGGCCGGACGATTACAACGCTGTGTTCTCGGGCAACGTGGACGACCACTTCAGGATAGGTACGCAGTGCCTTCCAGTGTTTCACCTGTTCAGATACACCTGATTTAACCTGGCGAAGTCCAGAATTGTTGTAGTTCTGCAGTAGATTTGGATTTCAACTATAGCCATTTTGGTGTAATTACATAATTACATATTTACTATCATAGTTACGCAATAAATTACATTTACAGTCTGTATCAACAGGTTTTGACTCTTTTATGTTTGTTTCAATGTCAAAAATGACCTAAAACTACACGTTCTAGATACACAAATTTTTACCAAAACCTTGGCAAAAATGTAAAGGGAGGGTTTTCCTCACTGCAAAACAAGACAACCCAACAATGACATTACATTAAGTTCACATCATAGTAAAATATCTCCTCTTCCACTTACAGACACCAATGTGGTCTGGAGTGAAAGTGTAGAATCTGCACTTTCCACTCCGTTTCTGTTGAGTCAGAAATGCTGAAGCTTTTGCTTGAGCTGAATTCAGTGTGTTGCAGAAATAACACTAAACTGTACAGGGCTGAGGCCTCGAGGACTGGATTAGCTTTTGCTCTACTTTTAAAAATGTTGGTTTTTTCAGAGGCTCCCGAGCTGCGCAACCGTCTAAGCGTTGGCCCTATCATCAGGAGATCGCGAGTTCGATCCCTGGTGATGCTACAGCCGTCCGTAGCCGGGAGTCCGAGAGAGCACAATTGGCCTCGCTCTCTCTGGGTGGGTGGGATGGCCCCTCCTTCACCCCCCATCACTCAGCGCGATGCTAGTCAGCGCAGGCGTCTGTTAGCTGACGTAACAGATCTGGCGGTTGGCGCTTTCCTCCGAGCGCATTCGGCTGTCCGGTGACGTTGCGTGAGCGGCAGCTCAAAAAGAAGCGGTGGCTTCACAGGTCTGTGTTAGCCTTCACCCTCCTAGCGCTGATAGCATCGTGTGATTGGGGGAGTCCTAACTAGCGGGTGGAATTGGAGCCGATTAAATTGGGGAGAAAATCGGGTAAAAATTAAAAAAAAAAAAATGTTGGTTTTTTAAGGGTGCTTTAGTAAAGAAAATAGTTCTATATAGAACCGTAAACACTCAAAGAACCCTTTGCTTGATTAAGGGGTTCTTTGCATCATTAATTAGTTCTTCAGATTGATGGAGAATGTGCTGTAGGTAGTTCAATATAAAACCTTTTTGAAAAGTCTTCTGTATAGCAAAAAAAAAGGCTATTTATTGCATCTATTGCATTTTCTTTACTAAAGAACCCTTGAAGAACCACCTTTTAAGTGTGTAGGCTGTTTGAAATTGTTTTGTCATTTTTTTCATTAGGTCTGTCCATTCTGAAGCGCAGCATGCGGCTCTACTCTCCGTTCTACTCGTCCGACATCATCATTGCGTCTCCGCTGGGTTTGCGGACGCTGCTGGGTGTGGAGGGTGAAGCTCAGCGAGACTTTGACTTCCTGTCCTCCATCGAGCTGCTGGTGCTGGACCAGACGGACGTTTTCCTCATGCAGAACTGGGAGCACATGCTGGTGAGAACCTGGTCAGGTGCTCTGCCCGCACGGAAGCAGTGCCTGATGTCTTTGCACACAAAGCTTCTCACAGCTATCAGGATTCTTTCAGTTGTATCCTGATTGGCTCTTCGCGAGTCTGTGTATTTGCGCTTCTGCGCAGCAGGTTTTTTCATTCAGACGGGAAGTTTTGTTCTTCCAGCTTAATTCTAGTCTGAAACAGCCGCTGGCAGTGGACATTAGCCTTTTTATAATAATATAAGAAGTAAATTTTATTTGATAAGCACATTTCAAGGCACCCAAGGACACTGTACAATAAAAATAACTATGCTGTATTGGAAATCCTGAAAAGGTGGGAGGTTCTTGGATGTTTTGCAGTAAAAAAGCACCTCCTGACTCTGTGCTGACGGACAGAAATCCAGCTTGCAAGATTAGTGAGAACTATATTGATTCAAGTTCAACTTTAGGTTTGGTTGGGGCATTTTTGATGAAATGCCTCAAAAATGATTCATTCCTTTTCGTTCCTTAATTGGTTGTTATTATTATTATTATGATTATTATTATTGAGGGGTCAGTCGTGGGCTGAAGGTTAGGGAACCTTGTGACCGGTAGGTCACCAGTTCAATTCCCTAAGCTGACAGTACGTGACTGAAGTGCCCTTGATCAAAGCACCTAACCCACAACTGCTCCCCGGGCACCATGGATAGGGCTGCCCACTGCTCCGGGCAAGTGTGCTCACTGCCCCCTAGTGTGTTTGTTCACTAGTGTGCATGTTTGTGGGTGTTTCGCTGCACGGATGGGTAAAATGCGGAGGTGTATTTCCTCTGTGTGCAAAACACGGTTGGCCAATGGTTCTAAATTCTTCTTCTTATTATTATTAGTATTATTATTATTAATAATAATAATAATAATGTTTACATAGCACCTTTCATACATTAAAAATGCAGCTCCAAAGTGCTTCACAATACAAAATACAAACAACAGAGGAAGAAGAGAAAGAAAGATAAAGGTAAAATAAACCAATAGCAGAAAAGGGGATGTATTAATAATAATTACAAGTAAAAAGCATAAGATAAAAGTAAAAATCAAAATTCAACTAACAAGAAAATAAAATAGTAATATTCCAGTACAAAGAGAAAAAACGAGTTCAACGCTAAAGTAAAGAAATATGTTTTAGTGGTGAAAGCTTGAACTTTTGAGCAGTTGCTATTTCAGTACACTAGGTGGAGCCTTTTACTCTCCAGACGGGGAGGGAGAAGTCTAGCTGTTCACTCACAACAGCACAGTTTTGAAATTATGGAACGTAAAAAAGGTTTGAGAAACCCTCTCAGAACAAGAGGCAACTGTGTAGAACACCAAAAGAAACCTTTTTACTCAGAGTTGAATTAGAGTGACAGTTTTAATAATTCGATTTTTGTAGATATCAGTATCAAATAGGGGTGCGGGAAAAAATCGATTCTTAGATGCATCGCGATGCGGGCGCGAACGATTCTGAATCGATTCACAAACGCCAAAAATCGATTTTCTAAATATTTAATTTATAACGTAATGTTGACGGAATGCAAAGGGCGGAACTTGGAAGTGGGTAAGTGCAGCGCCCGGACAGTCTGTGGCGGCACATAACAAAAACACAACTGGATGAGCGAGAAATCGGACCGGCTCCCTCTGCATTAAAGCCAGGTTAGATCAGGAGTCACAACCCAAATGATAAGGAGAGCCATTTTGACCTTTCAACAAAGTCAAACCACCTTGGGAGCCACAACATTTATGTCCAGTATGTCTCAGTGTGTGATGATGTCCTAGTAAAGGCTAAACAATATAAATGAAAATGCAGATTTACTCCGCTCTGCTTTAAGCTTTAGCTGTAGCCGCTTTCCTCCCCTTTCCCTCAGGGAACTTTTCCTCAAAACTAGAGCAGTTTCTCGTAAAAAGTCTCTCAGCGTTCGACTGTTTTCCGAAGCTGAAGTCGCTTCTTATTCTCCTTTTTCTTGTTTGAATTTTCCCGTTCCACCTTAAATTCTGCCTGAGGCGCCGAATGTAAATGCGGCACCATTTAAGGTGGAACGGGAAAATTCGAAAGAGAAGCGACTCCAGCTTCGCAACTGTTTAGTGTTCGACAGTCTATAGTTGCAGATTTAACTTACCAGGAATCAACTGCAGCGCTTATAAATGCGAATAACGCTTCGTTGCTATGTGACCTGCAGTTCTTAGTCGTTGCGAAACAGGGCTTTCCCGCTACGTTGCACACGACCCGTCTCAGGGATATTTTAGTGACACAGCGATCGCCCCCCCCTCCCTGTCTCTACAACGAGACCAAAACCGAAGTTATAAAATCACTAAAGAAAACGGGTAGAATAGCTGTAACTTGTGCTGCGTGGTCATCCACTGTCACTGGATCTTATTTCACCGTAACTGCGCATTTTATTGCAGATGAGTGGCAGCAGCTTTTCATGCTCCAAACAAGAACAGTGAATGAGAGTCTTCTACTTCAATTGCCACATCACTTCCATTTGATTTATTAATAAAAGATATTGGAAGTAAATTCATTATGGGTCATTACAAATACTCTGCTTTAAAACTACCAAGTCCTCAGACAGTAGGAAAATAGAAATCCGGTATAGAAAAAAAGATGCATCGATAATCGTTTTATAATCGCATCGCAGCCTCTGAATCGTAATCGAATCAAATTGTGAGGTGCCTAAAGATTCCCACCCCTAGTATCAAATGATACGGGAGAATATACTACGATAAGGTTTTGGCCGTGTCCTCTGCTGTGGAATTGATTCCCTTTTCTTAAATCAAATGTACTTTTTTTTTTTTTTATTGTAAAAGCTAATTAACAGAACGTGTGTTTTATGATCACACATATTCCAATATTCTTACAATTTACTGCTGAAAGTCAAAAATCTTAGACGCTCTTTGTATTATTTTATAAAAATAATGTTTACAGAGCAGATCACTGAAGAGACGCCATCTGTTTATAGTTTATAGCCCAGATTTGTGGAAAAATGGGTCGACTTTCAGCAGAAAAAACTTCAAAAAAAGAAAAAAGTTCAGCTTCTTTTATTATAAGGGTTTAAAATTACATCACCATCTATTTGACTGGACAGAAGACAGTTACAGCTCTCATACGACCCCCACCTTTAGAATGGAGCTTATGGAATATGAAAGTTATGAAGAATATGATGAAGTGCAGTTTGGAACCACCGGGGGTCTCAAGGAGTTGAAGAGGTTAAGATAAGTAACTACAACAGTGATCTTTAACTACCTGTCATTAAAACAAGCTGCTCCGTCTCATTTTGGCAAAATATTCACACTTTTCTTTATTTTAATCCTGTTTCTGCTCTAATTTAGACGTTTTTCACTTTTGGTTCTGACACAAAATGCAGCCTGAGTCCAGATCTCTCAGTGAACTCCATTACCCACAAGCCTTTGCTCTGTGTGTGTCTTGCAGCACGTGATGAAGCACATTAACCTGCAGCCGCTGGACTCTCACGGCGTGGATTTCTCCCGAGTGCGGATGTGGAACCTGAATAACTGGGCGGGTTATTACAGACAGACGCTGATATTCAGCGCCATCCCGGACCCGCAGATCAACAGCATCCTCACCAAACACTGCAGGAACTACAGAGGACAGGTACGCGGGGAACGTTTAGCATAGGAGTCCACAGAACCATGTTAATTAGGAGGCTAGAACCGGTCCAAGATCAGCCCACACATACTGAGAGAGCCTCTGTGCACCCAGTCCTTCATCTGAATGTGGTTTGAGACTGTTAAGTACACTTAAAAAAAAAAAGATGGTTCTTTAAGGGTTCTTTAGTAACGTAAATGGTTCTATGAAGAACCATGAACACTCGAACCTTTTGCGTGATTAATTGATTCTTTGCATCATGATAGGGTTCTTCAGATTGATGGATAATGTGTTGTATATGGTTCTATATATCACTCAAAAGGGTTCTTCTGCTGTTACGATGTCAAGCTTGTAACGATAGAAGAACCCTTTTGGGTACTATATAGAACCCCTTTCAAAAAGGTTCTGTGTAGAAGCATCTGCATCAGTCTGAAGAACCCTTTTAAGATGCAAAGAATCCTTTAATCATGCAAAGGGTTCTTTGAGTGTTCGTGGTTCTTTATAGAACCATGTTCCTTACAAGAGAAGATTATTTTTTAAGAGTGTGTAAAAATGGAAATAACTGTGTGTCAGCAAGTCTATTTGCACCTGTTTGCGCCTTACAGATTAACTGCACTCCTAAAGATGGTTCTTCAAGGGTTCTTAATCAAGACAGTGGTTTCATATAGAACCTTGAACACTCAAAGAACAATTTGCCTGCTTAAAGCGTTCTTTGCATGGTGAATTGTTCCTCAGATTAATGGAGAATGTGCTGTATATGGTTCTACATAGCACCAAAAAGGGTTCTGTTGTTGGTACAATGTCAAGCTTGTAGCAATAGAAGAACCCTTTTTGGTGCTAAATAGAACCATTTTCAAAAGAGGTTCTGTGTAGAACCATATACAACACATCCTCCACCAATCTGATGAACCATTCCACAATGCCAGGAACCTTTTAAGCATGCAAGTGGTTCTTTGAGTGTTAATGGTTCTATATGGAACCACTGTCTTTACTAAAGAACCCTTGAAGAACCATGTTTTTTAAGAGTGTGCCTAATACAGTACTTGTTAGCTACATTAGCTACAGACACCAAACTGAAGGCTGGTCTCTCTCTCTCTCTCTCTCTCTCTCTCTCTCTCTCTCTCTCTCTCTCTCTCTCTGTCTCTCTCTCGCTTTCACTTTGTTTCTCTCTCTCTCTGTGTCTCTCTGTCTGTGTCTCTATCCGTCTCTCTCTCTCTCTCTCTCTCTCTCTCTCTGTCTGTCTCTCTCTCTCCCCCTCTCTCCCTCTCTCTCTCTCTCTCTCTCTCTCTCTCTCTCTCAGGTTGCTACTAAGAACCTCCCCAAAACAGGCTCCATCTGCCAGGTGCTGGTGCAGCTCCCACATGTGTTCCAGATGTTCCAGGCTGACAGTTTCATGGACCAGGACACCAGGTGAGAAATGTGCTGCTCTGCTCTATGAACACTAGAGGGAGCTCTGTATCAAACATACTGAGCAGTCCTCTGCAGAGATTACAGATCGCTCTGTTTTGTTGTTCTTGGGGCTGATATGGTGCTGAAGTTGTTTGCTGGAACCTTAAAGCAAAACATTTGAATCGTTGCCTTTGAACAGAGTTTAGTTTCCTATCTTCATATATATACGCCTGTCAAAAGTTTGAAGACACACAAAGCCTTAAAAAAGTTTTGGTGGCATCATGTTCATCAAAGTGTCCATCAAAGTGGTGTAAAGAACAGGTTTTGGTGTAAATAATAAATCGTGATTTGACAGTTTTCTTTTCCAAACTGTTGTTAAAAGCACATACTGAAACTCTTTTGGCTTAAATGTGTTTTAAAGGTTTATTCCCAAGCTAGCACCGTCACCAACATCGGCACAAATATGTACAAAAATATGATTTATGAGTATATCTAATATGGTAAGTTATTGTAAATTTACAAAGCTTATTTGTATTAAAAATTTAAATCTATGTGACCCAAACTTTCAGTCTGTAGTTTTAATCTGAGACAGTCATGAGAGTTCATGTACATAACTACATTTCCCATGATGCTCCAGGTTCCAGTTCTTTGTGGAGAAGGTGCTCCCGCAGTACAGAGACTCCGTCATGTCCCACACTCTGATCTACGTGCCGAGCTATTTTGACTTTGTGCGTTTGCGTAACTTCCTGAAGAAGGAGGACGTCAGCTTCAGCAGCATCAGCGAGTACTCCAAGCGCTCGGAGGTTTCCAAAGCTCGGCATTACTTCCAGAAAGGAGAGAAACAGTTCCTGCTCTTCTCCGAGAGATTCCACTTTTACAAGAGGTGTGTCTGTTTATCTGTTTATCTACCTCAAAGCCCCGTACATTACTGACACAGCTTTACCTGTAAGGTAAATTCACATCATTCACACTTGCAAAACGTCATATAAAATATCCTCAGCATGAATGACCAGCAGACACTTTTTCTGAGTTATGTACAAAATACATCCACACAGCATTTTACTTACAAATCTGAAAACTTGACTGTAAACTCAGAAGCGTCACAGACATTAGCAGCAATGCACGCATGAGGGAGAGTATTTGGGGCGCTTCTCTTGAGTGGTCTGCCACTGCAATAATGTACAGAATATACTCCAATTACGTTTTTCAGTCACAAACACTGACTGAAATTCAGGCGTCGGCAACATGCGGCTATATTACTGCCCTGTTGTGGCTCCACAGCAGAATCAGATTAGTAGGTAAAAATAAAATAATCCTCCTTTACAGTAAAATAAAGCTCTGCTGATCGTTCAACACAGTTTAACAATAAATGGTCTTAAACTCTGGAGTTAATGTAGAACTGCTGATTCACCCTTTAACCCTGAAGATCAGCGCAGACTGCTGGTCACCAACACAGACTAGCTAGTAGCTAACGAAACGGCAAAGAGAAACATTTAAGATGAACATCGATAATTTGGAGACAAATGGACTTATTAGCATTTATAATCACTCCAGCTGGTTTCCTGATACGTTTAATCTGCAATGAGAAACAGTCAAACACTAAAATATCGCTAAGCTGAAATCAGCTTCTTGTTTGAATTGTCCTGTTCCACCTTAAATAATGCAGCAGTTACATTCTGGCACCTCAGGCATCATTTAAGGTGGAACCGGACAATTCAAACGAGAAGCTGGTGGTCGAACGTTGAGACATTTTACAAGAAACTGTTCCACAGTTTCCTGTCAGAGATGCGAGAAAAGCAAGCAGAGCAAAGTGATTCTGCGTTTTCATTAATATTAAGTTTGTTAGCCTATACTAGTACATCAGCACATACTGAGACATATTTTCAGCTAAGATGGTAAAATGGACATGAAATGTTGCGGCTCCCAAGGTGATTTGATTTTTGCTATAAGAACGAAACGGCTCTTCTTAACATTTGGGTTGCGGCCGCTGCTCCAAACCGTAAAAACAATTTTTCAAATATCATTTAAATTGCTGTGTTAATGGACTATACGGCTTGCGTTTACACTTAAACCTTCTTCCTGTTATTAATTATGGTAAAGTTCCCGCATTAAAGTGAAAAGGGCTTATATCTCCTGCACGTTTCGGGCACGCTGAGTTTGTGGAGTCTTGATAGATTGTCGAGAAATGAACAGTGAATTAGAGCTGAGCGATATGGCCACATATATTTGATTCATACCATTCAGTGTCAGTGATTATGTTTCCTAATGGTCAATTTTATTTAGAATTTATTTTCAAATTTAACCCTGAAGCCTGAAAAATGGAAATGCTGGCTAACTGTGCAGACTGTCCCGCTGCTGTGTGCTGTTGTGAGTGAACAGCTAGACTTCTTCTTCCTCCCCTTCTAGAGAGCCCACAGTGTACTGAAGTAGCAACTGCTTACAGTGTTTTGTTCAAAGTCTTTGATTCTCATTTCATCATTCGAGACAAAATGAAATTACTTTTTGATTCTTTAATTTCAGTAATTACTTTTAGAAAACGTTTTAAGTCACATCAGAATCACAGCATGCTGGACATTAGGTTTTCTGGATTTCTCTCTCATTAGCAGTGTGGTTGATTAAGACTGTGTACCTTTAATTTACGAATGCTTCTGTCCTTTCCTTCCTGACCTTTTGCCTTTTCTTGTTTCTTTTCCAGATACACCATAAAGGGCATTCAGAACCTGATATTCTACGCTTTGCCCACCTACGCTCATTTCTACAGCGAGGTATGCAACATGCTGCAGACCAGCACCGGCGCAGCCGCTCTCACCTGCACTGCCCTGTACAGCCGCTACGACACGCACAGACTGGCGGCCATCACGGGGGCCGAACGCGCCGCCCAGATGATCCAGTCCAACAAATCTGTTCATCTTTTCATCACCGGAGAGGAGAAGAGTGCGTGAAGGAGGGAGTGAGAGACGATACCATGAAAGGCTGGATATCAGATCCTGCAGCTTTCACACCTTCATCAATGTGAAAGAAGACATGGAGAGATTAGAGGAAGCCCAAACAAGCTTGATGGCCTGTAGTGACCAAAATGTAGCCAGTACATTATTTGTGACTGTTTCATTTGTGTTCTGTCTGCTGAACGCTGGCAAAAATATCATTCAACCAAATTGAAAATCTCACCAATTCTCCAAAGTTTTTGCATAATCCAGTGTGTGAGATGTAAACAGAGAGATTCAGAGTGGTTTGGTGTGAAATGGTTCAGATGTCTTTACAGTGGTGGTGATAGGAACCAGGGGTCGCCATGACTACAACACAGATATAGACATTTTATTTACTATCCAGAACCACCAGTGAACCAACACGAGTCTTCTGAGTTTATATGGAATGTTGATGATGGAAAATAGTGGAAAATCTGAAATAATAAGTTTTCTTTGGGGACTATTTTGCCTCACAGCGCCCTGCATGTATCCCTCCACCATGAATAGAGCTTGAAAAATATGTATTTTAGGCCAAAATCTTCTCAAAACGAAGCAATTTCTCAGACATCAGGCAGTGAATTGATAACCATTTCATTTAATAACTTTCTGTGAGGAGCTTTTAGAGGTGATGAACTTTTCAGATGCCAGTCATCACCACTGGGAAGTGAGTTATGAAAAATTCATACTAGGCTGATTGGAAACAGCAACGATGGATTAGTCACCATTCTAACGTTCGCTCAATTACCAAAAAAAAAACGCCCCCGACCTGCCCTTACAGGGAGGTGTTTCACATGCACTGAAAATAAATCATTTGAAATTAAATACACACTGGATTACGTATTTTAACGCTTCCCTTTAATGCATCGTTGAGTGTGTTTACATGCACTCAGTAATCCGATCATAATCAGGTTTCTGCAGTTATCTGATTATTCAAATGGTTGTGTAAACATCACACTGATTTCTTAGATCGGAGTAAGGTCTACAAATCCGATTAAGAAATCTGATAAAGAGGCTGGATTTTAGCTCAGTAATCAGATTTCTCAGTGCTGTAAACTCTTACTCTGATTTCTTTCGGATGTTTAAGTCTGAGCATGTGTGAAAACAGACAGCGGTGCCAGAAATAAGTGAGCAGCGTCGCCGCGAGACGCAGCAAAACACTTTTGGAGCATCACTGAAACCAAATACATGCTTAACGAAATGAAGGATTTAAATATTCTTCACCTTCTAGATGATGTTTGTTCATATTTTCAGGTAAAGTGGTGCGAGGTTTTAAAAAAAAGCATGAAGTTTGAGTTTTACGTTAGGTTTACGCCACGTCTTCTTCTGTGAGTTTCTTGGCTGGTTGTAAAGCACAAATCTGATTACTGTCTGACTCATGTAGACCCAGAATTTCCCCATTATCCGATTACTCAAGTGCATGTAAATCTGTTCTGCAGTTATCGGATTATTAAGTGCATGTAAACGCACCGACTGTGTTCTCATTAGGTTGAGTGGAATTATTGTCAGCGTTCTATAAAGCTTGACCAACCTAGCGACGTTAGCTACGATAGCGTATTTGTGGGCAGTTTGGGTTGATCAGTTTAGTCTGAACTGGATCAAACGGGCGGTTTTATCGGTTCTCGATGGAGAAAAGGAGAAGAGAGACTGTGCTTAAAGAAGATGCTGAAATGCCAGATGTGGAAGCACCCAGCACATTCTGTTATGGTTATAAATATTAAATATTTAAGTGTTGTTTTAATGGAAATGCAGGGGTTTTGTTACTTCAGTGTCAGGTTTTGTAACACATTATGCGCTATAACACATTATAGCGCTGTACAGAGATACCTAAAGCCAGCCAGCCTTCCTAGAGTTTCTTAAAAATAAATTCAGTTAAAAAACAATTCTTACTTGGTCCTGATTTCTCACACAAACTGTGTACTGTAAGAAGTGTGTTGTAAACTGGGGCCTGTTCTGTTCCGTTCTGCTGTAAATGCTGGTCTCTTCCCCTTTAATGAGACTGAGTGACTGATGACGTTTTCTGTGCTAATGAGGTCTAAAGAGCTTGAACTGAACTCTCCTGCATGGTCAGCCTGTTTGGGGATATGGTCAGCTGACTGCAGGCTATCAGCAGTGCGGGGGCTTTTAGATTCTGTGGAGGAAAAGAAGCAGATTTGGCTTTAGCTAAGTATTTAAAAGGCCCATATTCTTTTTTTGGTGTTTTTTCAGGGGTTCACTCATGTTTGTTTGGGTTTATGTGCCAAAAACACTCAGTTTATTCATTATTTACACGACCCTGTTTCTTTTCTCTCTCTTTATCCTTCGGAATTAAAGAGGCTGTTTTTGTTACTGTGACTATATATATAAATAAGCTCTGTTCTCATTGGTTGGCCTGAAGAGGAAGCTTTTTTTACAATACATCATGTCAGGATATGTATTTTCAGATCTGGCATCTGATGGGTTAGAAGAGACAAAATAGTCACATTTATTTTAAAGTACTATAAAAACTATGAATCCAGTTATTTGTATTCAGCGTTTCACACACTGCTGCACTCAGTCCAGTTAAACAGGACTCATGATGCGTTCTTATTAATCAAACATGCAGGTGGGAAGTGATTTTTAAGTACTGCTGATGTCCTCGATATGCTAAGAAAAACATATTGTGTAATTTATCACTATAATCATTATTGTGCATTTAAAAAGCAGCCCAGGCTGAAACACTTTGGCTGCGTTCACACAGCAGGTAAAAGTGGCCCAAATCTGGTTTTCTCACCAAATCTGATGTTTTTGTTTGTCTGTTCTCATCATCTTTTAAATGTGATCTGTATGCAACATCAGTCTGAACAGATCAGCTCCTAAACTGACCCACATGCGCAAAAGAACAGAGCGTCACGCTGCTTCACGGCTTCATCCAGAGGTAAACAATCAGTGCGTATACATGCACTCAATAATCCGATCATAGTCGGATTTCTGCAGTTATCCGATTATTCAAAGTGTCACGTAAACACCATACTCCGATCTAGAAATCCGATTAAGAAATCAGATAAAGAGGCTGGATTTTAGCTCAGTAATCAGATTTCTCAGTCTGAGCATGCGCAAGAAACTCCAGCAGCACTGCTGTGTCTGATCTACTCAGACCAGCACAACACACACTAACACACCACCACCACGTCAGTGTTACTGCAGTGCTGAGAATGATCCACCACCCAAATAGTACCTGCTCTGTGAGGGTCCATGGGGGTCCTGACCACTGAAGAACAGGGTAAAAGGGGGCTAACAAAGTATCAGAGAAACAGATGGACTACAGTCTGTAACTGTAGAACTACAAAGTGCACCTATATAGTAAGTGGAGCTGATAAAATGGACAATGAGCGTAGAAACAAGGAGGTGGTCATTATGTTGTGCCTGATTGGTGTATTTAACACCATATATACAGTGAGGTTTGAATGTTACTTAAGCCCAAAGTCAAGCACATCCAGTATGAGAAGTGCAGTCCTATTCTACAGTCCTCCCTTCTGGCTTAAGTTATCCAGCTAAACTCACAAATCCTGCTTTGTAGAGAGCAAATTAGTTAAAAAAACCCTTTGTGTCGTCAGTGTCTCCACCAGGAAAGCAGTAATATATCCATCCTGCTTCTGGCTCTGGATCAGGAACACAGTGGGATGTATTCTGGTGGGATTATTTGGTAATCTCCCCTTCAGATGGGGTTTTAGTGAGCTTAGTGTGTGTGTGTGGGGGGGAGTTACTGAGGGACCGCCATCAGCATCAATATTATTGACAGGATTGTCAGCGGGCTGCCTCTCTGACAGATGAGAGTGAGCAAGAGGAGGAGACTGTCGTTCACACTAGACTGCCGTGCTTGATGGAGCGCATTTATTTCAAGTAACTGTTCAGTAGGGCTGCACAGTGGACACTGTCTGACCAAAAGTGTCCAGACTTGCTGATACAGTTTGTATAATCTCCATAGAAAAGCACTGACCAATAGAGTGAGACACTCCTGAGCAGCCACACATGAGCCTATGGTCTCCAGTGCCTAATGCCCAGTGTGGGCTAGAGGGGTATAAAGCCCCCCAGCATTGGGCTGTGGAGCAGTGGAACTGTGTTCTCTGGAGTGATGGAGCTCCATCCAGCACCTTTGGGATGAGTTGTAGTGATCCAGAACTGACCATCCAACATCAGTACCTGACCTCACTGATGCTCAATCAAATCCTCACAGCAATGTTCCAACATCTAGTGTAAAGCCTTCCCAGAAGAGTCGAGGCTGTTACTGCAGCACAAACTCACCATTAACACCTTCAGAATGTGTTGTATATGGTTCTGTATAAACCCTTTTTGAAAAGGGTTCTACATAGCTATATTGACAAGCTTGCCATCATAACAGTAGCAGAACCCTTTTTGGTGCTATATAGAACCATATGCAACACATTCTCCATTAATCTGAAGAACCATTTCACCATGCAAAGCATGCAAATGGTTCTTTGAGTGTTCATGGTTCTATATAGAACTGAAGAAACATCTTTTTTAAGAGAGCAGTATAATTTGAGTGTGGGATTCTGTGCATGTGGTGCAGCTCCTGCTAACAGGCCTCTGCTGCTGGTTTCATTCTTCACCTCCGAGATTAGACACATTTTTTCTGTTCTTTCACTCCAACACTCTTTCTTTTTTCAGATTCGACTGTGGCACCCCACCAGACGGTCGATGGCTGGACTTAGCTGCCCCTCTCTGGTTTATAATTAGCTCCTCATTGACGTGTTGCCCATGTGTGGGAGTTCTGCCCTGCCTGGGCCGCCTTAGGTCAGAGATTTGGCTGCATGGAAGCTTGATGTTTGGTGACGAAAGCAAGCAGATTATGATCAATGAAGAAATTCATCAAACAAAATTAACACCAAAAAGCATTTTAGCCAAATTTACCCAACTTTAGCCAAGTTTCCCCACTTACTCCAAATGTAGTCGATCAGCCGGGACATGTTTGGGGTCTGAAGTTTGCTTCAGCACCGGCCAGAGGAGAGAAATGTTCTAAATGAGGTCTCCTCTTGATCTCAGGTTCTTCTCCTAGACACAGTTCAGTCCAGTTTGAGATCAGAGTGAGACTTCAGCCGTTTTCTCCTCTTTCTGAAATTCGGCTCCTGAGAAATAAAACTCAGATTTTCTCACTTTGATCAAAATCACACATGTGGCTTAACTCTTTAGTGTCTGACTCGTCTCACCACAGTCTCAGCTGAGTGATATCTCCATAAGAACAGTGTGAGATCTCATGGTTCTCTTATACAGCTCTATATATTATGGAACTCTCTCAGCAGTCCATCAGTGCAGAAGGGGAACTCACGCTTTTCTCCTTCATCACCAGAACGTCTCACAGTG